CTTGTGTAAATACTGTACTTTCGCAGTCTTCCAATCGAGGCGTGGCTCCAGAGCTTATCCAACTGCTTGAACATCTCTGCACATTCTCCTAGTATCCGCGTCAGTTCCGCGGCAACTTTCCCGTCGCAGGTAATCAGTCCTCCTAGGTAAACAGCTTCGCGGACGGACTTGATTGCGCCCCCGTCTGCTCGTGATATTACGATGTGCGTTGATATTTGCATTTGTAAAGTTTTGCCCCAGTTCAGTTCCAAGCCGCACGTCTTACCTCCCGCGATAATGGCCAAGAGCACATCTTCCATCTGTTGCTTGCGACGCGAAAGTAGAAGTGCATCGCCGGCGTAAAGGATATCGCGCGTCACGACATATGCCAGATCTTCTTGTAGACCGAGTTTGCCAAAATGATCATGCAGCATCACGCTCTGCACGACGATGAACAAGCATGGGGATAAAGGGCACCCTCGTGCTATGCCCGCCCGCCGTTGTCTATCAGTGGAAGAGCCTGCATGGTCCAATAAAGCGAAATATCTCGCCTCATAAATTGATTTAATCGTGGCCACCATATCTGCTGGAATACCAAAACGACCCAGAGCGTCGCACATGCAGTCTGGCTTGATCCTGTCGAATGCTTTAGCCCAGTCCAACATTGCAAGATTTATACCACAAATTTTGTCTCGGTGCGCTGAACCGATGATGCGCCAGACCAGCACGAGCGCATCTTGAGTGCCACTCCCTGGTCTGAAGCCGCACTGAGAGGTTCGTAGTCGACGTTCTGCTCCGCCGTGTAGAAGCCTTCAGTGCAGTAGTGCTGCAAGAACTTTGTAACCCACTCACTGGAAGTAAGGATATGGGCCTGTAGTTCGCCGGCAAAAGAATATTGCCCTTTTTGAATAATAGCATCACGTTCGCGCGTTTCCAAATTTATGGCAGTGCCTTTTGTTCCCAACACTTCTGACACATGTCGAGCAAAACGCCGCGCGCGGTTGTATCAGATGCCAATACTTTCCGAACATCCGGAGGTACATCATCTGGGCCGGCGGCTTTTCCTGTCTTCAGCTTCTGAAGTACAGCTTGAAGTTCTTCCATCGTGAAAGCACACTGGTGTTGACAGGAAGCGCGCTGCCCAAGTGCGCGCGGTGATTCGGTCGTGTCTCTGGGAAGTTGCACTCCCACTGCACGTGTTCAAAATAATATGCCAGCACGTCTGCCCTTTCAGATGTGTCCGCCACGGCCCCGCTGCACTGCTGCGCGCTGCGTCTTTTTGGGTTGGCGCAAATGTCGGACAACATCCCAATTTCCCGTCGCGGTGAGCTGATCCAGTAAGACTTCTGTATCTGCGTTGGCACTCTTGCGGATTTGTTTGTTCTACTTCTGCTCGTTCTCGTAGTCCCCGGCCCGACGGCAGGCATTCTGTTCTGCAACGAGTCCCAAAATACCCTGACTCGTCCCAGGGCGCCTCGCCCGGATCACCTGGGCAGGCAACGCTGCAGCAGCCTGCGAAAGAGTATGCTGTAGATTCTGCGAGGCGGTTTCCAAATCGGCCGCCTGTTCTTGATGCATAACTGCGTTGATGAACTCCCCCGCAAATCTTCGCTGAGTTTTTGAATCAGCTAAGGCTGCTTTGTCGAATGATTGCTTCTGCTCTCTCTGCACCGTTTCGAACTCGATGTTCATCTCAGCAATGAGAAGAAAATGTCGGCTGTTTAGGGCGTCGGACCGGCTGCTCCAACAGTCGGAGATCGCGCCCAGCAAAGGTTGATGACACAATATGTGATCCATTTGAGAGAAAGAGGAAATCGAGGTACTATCGTCCACTGGGTTGATGCCCACGCTCCGGCACGTGATTTTCAACGAATCGGGACGGCCATGGAAAGTGTTCGCAATTGCCAGGTCGCACGCCACACACGCTTCCAAGAGCAATTGTCGATTTGACGCCTGTGCCATGTAATTCCCATTCTGCTGCGCGCCGTGCTCGACAGAGGAGCCCCGAGGAGCGGCATCGAAGACATGAAGCCAAAATGTTATTCCCCAGCGCCTTGTCGCAGAAGCTTCGCATTAAAATCACCAAATACCAGAGTTGTGCTATGTGCAGTGGTAGCCCGGATAACCTTCTGCAGCTCGCGGCGGAATGATTGTCGCGTCTCGTAGTCGTGGCCGCTGCGAGGCGCATAAGCTGCAACCAAAGTCAAGATCCCACCTTTGATTCGCACTCGGAGAGAAGCTAACCCGTCATGTCAGAGCACGATTTAAAAGCGACCGTAGCTGCCAGGATGTTCGGGCTGACCAAAAAGCAAGCCCCAGCATAGGCACGCGCATCCACATTCAAACTGCCGGAAAATATCTTAAAACCATCTTTCAGATAGCACTCTGCCCCGTGCAAATGTGTTTCTTGCACACAAAGAACATCGAGGCTACGTTCAAACATGCGCTGGATGAGCTCGCCTATCTTGATTGCAGAGTCCCCGCGGAGGCCTTCTACGTTCCACGTGCCGATTCGCTCAATCCGACAAGGCGCGCAGAGCTGGCGGCGCGCATGCCAACCCAGCGTTTGGAGAGCCTGCGGAGACGGACGCCCCAAGATTGAGGAAGACGCCGAAACACGATTTGTACATTGATCCGGCAATTGTGGAGGAAGTTTCGACGATGTCGGCGTTGAAGTGCTTGGTGAAACAGGCCTGTCAGATGCAGCATTGTCCTGGCCTGGCAGAGCGGGCGCGGTGGGAGGCAGAGAAGGTGGAGAAGCGGCCATGGCAGATGATGCTGTATGTCGTTCGTCTTCGGTGCCGACGCCGTCGTCAACGCGGACGTGCACGCGTGCTGACGGGACTCGCTGGCAAGAAAATGACGAAGACGAAGTCGGTCTCGAAGGTGGCGTGAATGAAGCTGTTGAGGAACAGGTATCTTTGCCCCCTCCCACAGAAGCCGCGACGGAAGTAACCAAAGGAGTCGGTGGGACAGATCTGTGGTCATCGTCCTGACGGGTCGGAGTCCTCAGAGCTGGTATGCAAGAAAATGATGTAGCAGAAGCCGGGGGAGTACATGAATATGATGATAAAACAAGCGAGGCATGCTCGTGATATTGCGGCCTGGTAGCTTTGTCCACGCCTGCTGTAGAACATGAGCTCGATTCCGTAGGTATGAACCCGTCGATAACTTTGCACAGCATGCATCCAACACCATCAGGCTCAAGCGAAAAAGTATGAGGTGGTCCATCTCCAACGGCTCCGGTGTCAAGTCGAACCAGCCCTGGCACCGACCCTGTCTCCTACTTACCTTTACCTTTTGCCGAGCCTTTCATACCCCCGGCAGCTCTTTGCAGGATCGATGCCATTTTGCTGATCAGCTCAACTAGCTTGGGATGCCTCTGAAGTTCCTCCCAAACTTCCCATTCAGAACCCCATTTCATTGCAAGGTCGGATCCATGCACGGATACGGTAACTTCAATATCGCCTCCCACATTCGCGGCGCACGGCAACTCATCAGTGGAAACATTGATCCTGTAATCGTTACGCACGTCTTCCTTCAACAAATATTTCAAGCCGAAGCAAAAGTTCCGCGCCGCACGTATCTCTGGGGGCCCGTCCTCCGTAACCCATATCTTGGTACCTGCGTGAGCCGCCCCAGACTTGCGCAGCAGCTTGACGGCCTGGTCGTGGTCATCCTCGCCATTGAATTCCAGGAACGTGGTCGGCGCCTTGAGCTCGTCCAAAGTATTTTGCAACCATGTTGAAGCTGCGGAGACAGAGCCAAAACCAGAAAGATTGCCCACGACTGCTGTTACCAACCGTTTACCATCGCCATCAGCAGGTACACGTCTCGAGGAAAGTGGACGGAGGCCAAGTTGTTGAACTTGATGTTCTAAATCCCACCTTAGATTCCAAAGCAGACGTCGCCGAAGTATGCGATGCTGACCTTGCCGAGGGCGGTTGTGATTGGTAATAGGATTCCAGTGTCTCCAGCCTGATCTTGAAGTCGTCGACTGTGCTTTGTAATGGCTCCACGGCGTTGCGGAGATCAGTTTGAGAAACGCCATGCTCTTTGATAGCAGCAATGTCTTGTTGAATAGGTCGCAACTCGTCCTTAATCAGCTTGCTGATGGCGTCGAGGGTCGGCAGACCTCCAGCAGGCGAGATACCCGGCAGAGGAAAAGGAAGAGGATGAGGCAAAAGCAACTGTCCTGAGGGGCCTGCTCCTGACGATCCGCTTGTTTTCAGGTCGTCGCCGTCCAACCCGTCCATTTCTTGTAATGGGCTGTGGATCCTGCGTTGCTTGGCCATCAATTGCTTGACCGGGGTACCTGGCATGCGCTTGTCGCCACAAGCGTCTGAAGAGGGCATTGATATAGTGTCGAAGGGTAGGTGAGCTGGAAATGAGATGTACGGAGAGTATGAAAGGGATGTGCTATGTGAGGACGTCTTGGATCAATCTTGGGACGTATTGGATTAATCTCGGGCCCGCAATCTCGAGCCAATTTTCTTCAGCCAATGGCTACGGAAAAGGCACGCCGTGTACAACAATAACGCGCAAGGTACGCCGTCCTCGGAACGTACTAGTACATCATGATCATGTGAATGGCCCCGCCGCTCACCTCTCCCTGTCTCCTCCTCCTCTTTGACCTACCTCGGGACTTTAGGATGGACGTGCCAGTCTCCCTCCTCTCCCCCCACTTTGAAACGTTAACTGGATCCCCCGGATGTCCGGGGGGCTCCCGCGCCAATCGACCGCGGCGCGCCGCTTGGGGACAGCGGAGGCTGCTGCGAGAGAGAGGAGGAGGAGGAGGAGGAGGAGGAGGAGGAGGAGGAGAAGGAGGCATTCTGCCAAGGAGTCCTCCCAGCCCTGCAATTCGGCTCTCATTCGTTTCATTCGGACTCCCCGCCCTCCCACTCCCGTTCCCCCCTCTCCCACTCCTGGGTCAGCGTCTCAAGGGGCCTCGGGAAGCCTCCAGGTGACCCAGGAGGACCTCGCGAGGCATCCCACGCTAAACCCTGGGCGCCAATCCTTGCGATTGCGGACGTCGTCGCTCATGACGTCGAACTCGGTCGGCGAGGAGTTGTACGGGTCGCCAGCCACGCACGAAATCTCCTGCTTCTGATCCCAGCGGGCGCTATCCTCCTTCTCCTCATCCTCTTCCTCCTGCTCCTCCTCCTCGTCCTCGTCCTCGTCCTCCTCCTCCTCCTCCTCCTCCTCCTCCTCTTCTTCCTCTTCCTCCTCCTCCTCCTCATCAGCACCATCATCAGCAATATCATCACCGACACCGCCACCACCACCGCCACCGCCACCACGACCACCACCATCCTCATCCTCCTCCTCCTCCTCCTCCTCCTCCTCCTCCTCCTCCTCCTCTTCCTCTTCCTCCTCCTCCTTTTCCTCATCACCATCATCAGTATATCATCACCCACCACCACCGCCACCGCCACCACGACCACCACCCACTCCTCCTCCTCCTCCTCCTCCTCTCCTCCTCCTCTCCTCCTGCATCTCATCATCTCTCATCATCATCTCATCCCATCATCATCATCATCATCATCATCATCATCATCATCATCATCATCATCATCATCATCATCATCATCATATCAGCAGCATCACACCACCACACCACCACCATCATCATCATCATCGTCATCATCATCATCATCATCATCATCATCATCATCATCATCGTCACCATCATCAGAATCATCATCACCGACACCGCCACCACCACCGCCACCGCCACCACGACCACCACTCCTCTCCTCCTCCTCCTCCTCCTCCTCCTCTCCTCAGCTCATCATCATCATCATCATCATCATCATCCTCATCATCATCATCATCCTCATCATCACCACCACCACCATCATCATCATCACACCACCACCACCATCATCATCATCATCATCATCATCATCATCATCATCATCATCATCATCATCATCATCATCATCATCATCATCATCATCATCATCATCATCATGATCATTATCATGATGATCATCATGATCAGCATCAGCATCATCGTCATCGTCATCGTCATCACCAACAGCATCATCATCATCGTTATCATCATCATCATCATCATCATCATCATCATCACCATCAGCATCATCATCATCATCAGCATCAGCAGCATCAGCAGCATCATCATCATCATCATCAATATCGTCACCATCATCATTAACATCGTCATCATCTGCAGCATTAGCAGCATATGTAGCAGCAGCATCATCAGCATCAGCATCATCATCATTAGATTCAACAGCACCATCAGCATCATCATAATCTCATCATCATCATCATCATCATCATCATCATCATCATCAGAATCGTCAGCGGCATCATCATCATCATCATCATCATCATCATCATCATAATCATCATCATCGTCATCATCATCGTCATCATCATCAGCATCATCAGCATCATCATAATCCGCCGACCCCTGGGGGATCATCGGCGTGTGAGATTCTTCCCCCTCCCCAAACCCCTCCCCCGGGAGCCTGGTCCGGTCGATTTGGAGGGGGGGGGGTGCCCGGCCGGCCGGTCCGGGCTTCCCCGGCGCGGGCCGGGGGGGGTCATCCGTTCCAGAAAGTCTGCTGGGGTGCCCAAAACGAGCCAAGAGGCTCCCAAGAAGCTATGAAGACGGTCCAAGAGGGCCCCGAGTCGCCGAAGAATCGTTCGAAGACGGTGAAGATTGCCTTCAGACGGCCCAAGATGCCGCCAAGACGCCCGAAGAGGCTTCCAAGAGACCTCCCAAGAGGGCCCCAAGAGGCCAAAATCATTGCTTTTCATTAGTTTTTTCGAAGTTGTTGGCCTTCTCGCTTTTCTCGGCTTCCGAGGCTCCAGGACGGCGCAAGAGTCCCCCAAGAACGCCCCAGGACGACCCAAGAGGCCCCCAAGTGAGCCCCAAGACGGCCCAAGAGGGCTCAAGACGGCCCACGACGGTTTCAAGACAGCTCAAGAGGGCCCCAAGAGGCCCCCAAGAAAGGCTCCAGACGGGGACCACGAACCTAAAATTCTAGCTTCCCGCCCCAAAAGGCACCCAGGAGGCCCCAAGGGGCCCCCAAGAGGCCCCAAGAGGCGCCCAAGAGGCCCCCTAGAAGTCCAAAAGAGGCCCCAAGAGGCCCCAAAACAGCTCCCCAAAAGCATCCAAACTCCCTCCCGCAGGCCCCCAAGGGGTCGGCGGTGTGGCGTAAGCCTAAGAATCATAATCAGCAGCATCATCATCATCAGCAGCAGCATCAGCATCAGCATCAGCATCAGCATCAGCATCAGCATCAGCATCAGCATCACCAACACCACCATCAGCAGCAGCAACAGCAGCTGCTGCATCGTCATTGCCATCGTCATCGTCATCCTCCACCTCCTCCTCCTCCTCCTCGTCCTCCTCCTCCTTCCTTCCTCCTCCTCCTCCTCCGTATCCACATCCGCATCCGTGTCCGTATCCATGTGGGTTCAAGCTGCCCAAACTCGGTCTCAGGGCATTCGCATTCGCTTCTTGGGCTGCTGGGGCTGGATGGCTGCTAGCGCTGCGCTGTGACCGACGCCAGGGCTGCCCGACTGGCTCACGGGGGGGCTGCCAGAATGCCTGGCGGCCTATCCGCGCCCGCCAAGAGAAAGCGAGGCGCGCAGGCGGCGGCAGCTGGCCTGCAGAGCCAGCTGCCCCTTGGTGCACAGCCACGCGCGGGCGCGCCGCCAGGCCGCGGACTCGCCGTCCGCCCCGCATTCACGCGGCGAGTTGCGGATTGGTCGCGGGCCGCCGAAACTCAGCCTGGCACTCGGTGCTCGCGCTAGCGTCGGGGTTCGCGCGGGCGTCTGAAGTGAAGTGAAGTGAAGTGAAGTCCTGTCAAGGTGGCCCGCAAGGGGCAGGACCCTACGCGAAATCCTCAGGAGTGGAAGTGCGACTTCACCGAATATGAAAGAAAATCAGCCGTTAGACTTGCCCAATGATCTGCGTCCCCAGCAAGAAATTGCCACTCCCCCAGCCCCCGGTCTCGGCAAAATCTTCTCACCGAGTCTTCAAAACGCATCCACCTGCGACTTGACGGACGCGTCGGGCGAAGCGAGCCCCACTCGCCAGAAGCAGCCTGCCAAGAAGAATCTCTCCACGTTGTGACACCATTCAACCAATCGATGGCGCTCGCCCGGGCCACGCGCCCTGCCCAGAGCCATTTCCTTCGGAAATGTTCCGGCGCCCACTCTTTGAGACCAGTACTTTCGGCGAAGCGGCGCACTCGTCGGGCGGCTCTTTGGACCCAGTCAACCCACGGCTCCCCGTCGGCGCGGCCACAGCCAACGATTCTCCGCAGCATCAAATTCTGAGCCACGTTCAGCTTCCTGAGCTCCTCCGCCCTGGGCGTCCACGACTCGCATCCCCATAGAGCGCATTCTGTGACAGTAGAATTAAATAAACGTAATCTGTTCCTCAAAGAATATGACCGGTTTAGAAGCAACCTCTTCATTGCCCAGAACTTGCGCCACCCGCAAGCGACGCGATGTTCCACTTCCTGGCCCGTCGGTTCCTCGAGAGAAACGCTGGTGCCCAAGAGTTCGAGATGTTCGCCCGGCTCCAATTTCTACGGAAAAACCTTCCGTCAGCACGGCGGCGCCCCTGCGTGTGAACTCGGCCCGGTTCGTCTGGACCTTGCACTTGGCGGGATATAAGTCCAGGCCCACCTTCGCCAGAGCGCCCCGGAGCAGTAGAATCATTCTTCTCATGGAGATCCAGCTTCTGGCAATGAGCGCCTGGTCATCTGCAAAAGCTACGTGCGCGAGGCACTTGCCGTTGATGCTTTGCCCCACCAACGCGCCATACCCTCTGCGATTCCACGTGCTGCTCACTTCGGAAAGGACCTTGTCCAACACCAGATTAAATAATGCCGGAGATAATGGGTCTCCTTGCTTCACACCCCGCTGTACATCAAATGGTCTGCTCTCTGCCCCATCCCATAAAGAAACATATCCTCTGACTCCGTGATACAGCCGTCTCAATACACAAACTGTTGAAAAATCGAAATACCCGAATCCAGCAAGGCAGAAAATAATGCAGAATGGTGCACGCGATCGAAAGCTTTCTCAACGTCGAGAGTAGCGACCCAAAGTTCCTCTCCCCATTCAAGTGATTTTTCAATCACCGTTCTCACTATGTGTATTGCGTTTGCGCAACCACGCTGTGGTCTGAACCCGAACTGCTCTCTGGATAACTTCGAATCGATCGCGGCCGCAAGCCTGTTGTACAACACTGTGCTGAACAACTTCGCCATCACGGGCAATATTGCTATAGGTCTGTAGTTTTTTGGTAGGGACGGATCCCCCTTCTTGAACAACACGCGAAATTTGGCAAGCTTCCATTCTTCTGGCGGGCCCAGAGCCCCATTTAATACTTGCGAGAAGAATTCTGCGATGACACAAACCAAATGTGCATGCCCTGTCTTCAGCATCTCTGCTACCAGCCCATCGTCTGCCCCAGTTCTGCCGCCCTTCAGTTTCCTCAGCGCTTGTCGAAGTTCTGTTTCCGTCACGCCTTCGTTGGCAGCTTCCTTCAATGGGGGCTCGATGGCGACAGTGGTATCTCGATACAAGTTTTCATAAAACTGCGCAAAAACCTCGCTGATTGATGCCTGGTCTGTCTGCGTGATACCGCTGTGGTCTTGGATCGCAAGAGTTCTTTCGATGCCCTTGTGCTTCTGCTCAAGCCGTCGAAGTGCTCCCAGGCAAGCCCCTCTGACGACAAGTTGCTCCAACTCCAAATCTGGTTTTTTACGTCGTTGTCGTCGCAATGCCCTCCAGAGCTGCTTCGATAGGGAACGCCGTCTGTCTGGGTCCGTCTCATCCCAGCGCGCGTCAAATAAACGCTTGACTTCCGGACCATGTTTTGGACTGGACGTTGCCAAATGGCTGCGCTCCCCGGTCTCCACAGCCGCCTCCACCACCTTGGGGGCTGGGTCCACGTTGAAGTCGTGCTCAGCAAGGGCGCCGTCAAGGCAGTCGTGAAACTCATTCGGGTTGCCGTCTGGCCCCCGGCGCGGCTTCCATCCCACTTGCAGTTTCTTTGTTTTCCTTTTCTTCGGCCGCTCCGTAACCTTCAAAGTTGTCGAAAA